AGGCTATTGTACAATAAGTTCAGCTAATTTGACAAAATAGCTCCCATTCCCCTAAAAGATAGAGGAAAAAATGTACTTTGCATCTTAATTCCCCCACTGAGAATTCTATAGCTATACAGCAAAGAAAAAAACTGAGAAATTAAAAAAAAAAGTACTCTGCATCATAACTCCCTCCTTCCTCCTCCCCTGAGAATTCTATAGCTATACAGCAAAGAAAAATTTGAGAAATATCTTTGTCACAGCAGTTTGGAAACCTGTTTCCTTCCTACCCCCTCCATTCCTTGAGAGCGCCTATGGTTCTGATATATCTCAAGTTATGCTGCTGTTGCTGCAGTAGCAGCAATACAATCAATTACTGCTCTACAAAGTATTGAATCACAACCTTTGAATGATTGCCTTTGGGACACTGCAGTCACCTCACTGTACTGCCGCTTCACTCTCCTTTTTTGGAAAAGTCCCGAAAGAGAAGCACCAACATGCTATGTTCACTGGGGCTGAATCAACATGGAATGTTCTTGCAGTAATAATGTCAGATGGGGGCCTTTCCATGCCAGCAGCCAAACAACCAGCTATTGCCAGAAATCACCTTCCAGTAAAATTTCTTCGTTATTATTACTATTGATTAATACTCTTCGATTTGTTAGCTTTATTTTCAAATGACTCCCAATACATGCCAGTATTTACACCAAGCTAGAAAGCAAGCAGAATTATTTCATCTTTGAATTTGTAACCTGGGAAAACTTGGTTTGAAGAGTGGCATACACATTTTTTAAAAAATGAAAAAAAATAAATTATTGTTTTAAGTACGATACCATCGGCTCCCCTTGAACTACCACATTACCAGTAGATCTTCTGTCAGGCTATATTAACTACTTCCATCCCAGCTGGTCATGCAAAGAACTCTGAGTTTAGTGTCTGAAACTATTTACTCTTTCTTCTTCCTCATCCTGGGGTGTGTGTGTGCGTGCGTGTGTGCGTGTGCACCATATCTCTTCTATTAAAAGCCTGAGGGCAGAGATTATTTTACTAATAATATTAGTGAGCTACTCTGGGAACTTTTTAAATGGTAGAACAACATAGAAGAGGTCCATGCCAGAATAAATCCATAGCATCCATGATGCTTTATGTGATATGGAGGGCTATAATATAGGTTTGCAATACAAGTTCTACAAGTTACCAACACAATGTAGGAAAATCTATAGGACCATTTTTTGCGACAGCAACATAAGGAACTTGCACCACAACCCTACTTCATGTTTGTTTGGAAATAAAGCTAACTTATGTTGACAGAGCCTATTCTCAATTTAGTATGAATATGAATGCAGCTTTAATATGCATACACTTTTTTTCCCGAGAAATAAAAAACACTGAGCAGTGGGATATTGATGGAAGTGAAAAATATGCCTGAGTAATATGGAATAATAAAGCATAAAAGCAAAAGCCACAATTAAGTGTGGGATTTAATGCAATGAAATACATCAAGTTTGAGGGGTTTAAATGCTCAAGTCTCTGTGGGGAAAGAAACATTTCATTTGCAAAGCATAGCATAGCATATGTTCAATAGAGAATGGAAATGAATCATTTATAACAGTATAAAAGTCTCATAAATTCATTGTTCATTGTAATATGACAGTGAATGTATTAGTCATGAAGTCTTTAATTAGAGACTGAAACTATATTAACTACAACAAAAGTCATATTTATCAATATGGATTAGAGGTATAAAGTCTTTAAAAGTATTGTTGAAGTTTGAAAAGTTCAGTGGCATCAAATTGTCCATCCCACTATGCCAGTACTGATATCGAGAAAATGTTTCAGAAGTAGCTGAACTAATACACTTCAAGGTCCAGATCAAAGTGCTGGTTTTAATCCTCAGACCCTGAAAGAGTTTTGGCACAAGTCACCTTGCCCCCAATAACTTATCTGGACTTCAAGTGACCCTGTCATATCAATCAAACTTTTTCAGCAATGGATCCCTTACCAAAGGATGTATATTTCATTCCATTAATTCTGGGTTTTAAATAGAAAGTGGAAATCAATTTCCCTGTTCAAAAGGCAATGTCGAATCATCTACGTCTCCGCAAAATAATAAATGAACATATATTTGATATCAAATTTGCAATATCATTTGCAAGAACATTTCAATTTCCAAGGACACTTTGCTACTGACCTTAATTGTTCATCTTTGTAAAGGAATTACATAAAAGCCAAACTAGCCTTCATTAAGACTTTTTACACTGTTCTTATGGATTAAACATGAATTATATTGCATACTGTATTTGTTTGAAAGGAAGATTTTTTCTCCCTGTACCAATAATTTACCTTTAAAACAGGAGGGTTATTTTAGATTCGCTGAAAGTATGATAACAGAGAAAAATGAGGTTTTTAATAAGTAATCTTTTTGTGGAGGTGATCAGTTTAAATTCAGGGTGACCTTTATTTCAGATAACTACCATATATTAACCCGGTCATCAATGCAAGAACGTGTGTATCAATACCTTAGGATAGTTTTGTTAAGATGTACAGGTAGTCCTCAATTAATGACCATTCGTTCAGCAACTGTTCAAAGTTATGATGGCACCAAACGAATGGTAGTTACAGCCGGTCCTCAAACGTACGGCTGTTGCAGTACCCCCAGTATGTGATCAAAATTCAGGTACTTGGCAACCCACCCACATTTATGACCTCAGGGTGCCTATCTCCCCTCCATCTCTGCCCTTTTAGCCACCCTGCACTCCACTACCCCTGCCACCCTACACTCCGCCCTGCACCCCAGCCACTTTGCACTATGTTGCCCCTGCCGCGCCCCACCCCCCCCAGCTGACCTGTGCCATCTTCTTCCTCCTGCTGCTGATGAAGCGCACCAGGCCTGGGCCTTCACAAAGCAGCTGCAGATAGCAACAAGGCCTTCCTGAGGCTGCATGCGGTGAGGCCTTGGGAAGCCTGCATGTGGCCTTGGGAAGGCCTCACGCTGCCAGCAGCCGCCTTACAAAGGGTCAGGCCAGGCATGCCTCATCAGCAGCGGGAGGAAGCAGACAGTGAAGATGAGCTGGGGGTGGCAGGAGACGGCAGGGGTGGAGGATGTGCAGAGCGGTGGGGGTGCAGGGTGGAGTGCAGGGTGGTGGGGGCGGCAGAATGCGGGGCAGCAGGGCAGCGGGGTGGTGGAGTGCAGGGCAGCTAAAAGGGCAGAGTTGGGGGGAGACAGGCTGGTGGGGGGAGTTAATGCAGAGGTGAGTGAGGCAGGAAAAGCGTGAGGTCCTCGCCTAACGATGGCACGGTTCTGGCTTAATGACCATAACCAGGACTACCGAAACTGCTGTCACTAACTGGTGCAGTCACATGATGTTTCACCTAATGAATGCATTGCTTAGCAATGGAAATTCCGTTCCCAGTTAGGATTGTTAAGCAATGGTATTAATTATATCTCTCAGCTTCATTTTTATCATTGCTCCCCTTGGTTGCCCCAATAATATTTAAGATTACACTCAGTTTTCCAGGATTATAAATATAATCTGGGAACTATTGTATCTGATGTAGTGGGGCTGTGATTAATGAAATTATATGGAATGATAAATCTGTTATTCTTTATGGTGCATAAAGATTTTTTTTTTTTTGGTCTAAGATCCCTTGGGAGTATTTTTTTTACTTTAGAGAATTAATATGATCCATGTCTGTTTCACACATTACCTTCATTTTTATCCTTAGAATTAGCTCACCCTTTTGAACTGCCCAACAATCCTCTGAGATCATACAGCTTTGATAGTGTGCATCCCAGAGCAATGGTCACATAGCCATTTCATGGCTGATTTGTGATTTGAATAAGCCGCCAGTAGGTGGCTGACCTCGGCTGATTCTGAAGAAGCTAAGTAAGATCTGTCCTGGTTAGTACTTGGATGGGAGAAAATTACAAAATTCCAGGGCTGTGGATTCGAGTGGAAGGGAATTAAAAAAAAAAAAAAATTCCAGAAGGCCTTGGCAAATCACCTCAGTATTGTAATAAAGAAAACAACATAAATACATCCGTATAATCACCAGGAGTCTAGCTCAACTCAAGGGACCCCTTCCCTATTACAAATTATTTGAATCTAAGCCCAAGCACAGAAACGTTCATTGCAATTTTAAGTTATTGGAAAGAAAACCTGAAAATCAGATCTTTAGGCCATCTAGCACAGTATTGTCTTTATTGACTAATAACAGCTCTGTAGGAAGTCAAATGTGAATCTTTCCCAGATGCCAGGAACTGATTCTGGGAACTGCTACATGAAAAGTGTGCTGACTGCTAGTGAGCTACAATCCATTCCTAACAGTGAATTAGTACAGTACCAAAAAATAAAATAAATAAAATAAAATTGCTTATATCTGGTATGAGATTAACTGTGCTTCTGTTTATTTTTGTAAACCAGTAGCATTACAATAATAGGTCATTAATTAAAACAGAGCTGGGGACATAGACAGAAGTTTACTTAACAGTAGCATACTCCTTCCCCCAATTATGCATGTCCTAGAAGATCTTATTCCTGAACAAGTGAAAATAGGTTTTAGACATGCACAAAGGTGTACATACTTTAGCAAGCATCTGGCTCCGTTACTGTTAGCAACTTCAGTAACAATTATCTTAATATTTATTTGAAATGTTAGAATTAAGCAAAGCTTGAGCATGGATGAATAGGGATTACAATGGAAAGATTTGATGAAGAAAATAAAAACAATCAAGCTGTCAATGAGAGAAAGAAGACGGGGAGAATAAATGGACAATGTCTCTGGCAGACACAGACTAAGAGCATTAATTCTCCATGGTTGTTACAGTGTGCTGATTTTGTAAGTATCTTTTTTAAAGATAAAATAATGTTATCCAGTAAGGCGTACACTTTATACAAATGTTGCATTAGAATTGTATTTTATTCTGCACATTAACATGTCTATTTCTAAGCAGGTTTGATCTAGCATGAGGTAACTTATAACTCCACTTAGAACACCATTAATTTGTTCTCTATCCATACCTGTCTTTCAGTGAGATCCAGGTTCACAGCTATTTCGTATCTCCGCAGCCTGGTGAGGTAGTTGTGATGGGCAAATTCTGCTTCTAACTCTCTGATTTGCTCTTTGGTGAAAGCTGTTCTTTCTTTTCTTGGTTTACTATTGACCTCAGATTTATAATTTCCCTCTTGAGAATCTGAAATAAACACAAAATCAAGTCAGGAGTCAGGACAAGTCTACAATTTATTGGCAAGCAAATGTTGCAGATTAAAATATTGTTATAGATTAAAATATTGACCCAGTAATAAATGTGTTTTCAGTTTTAAAGTCATTAAAATTGACTGGATTATCATACAGGACAGATCCTGCCAATGCACTACTGATGTCAATAGTGAAAGTCACATTAATTGAAATGAATCTACAACACATTCCATGTCAAAATATTAAGGAGACAATTGGAGAGAAATACGGGGAGCAGCAGTTATGTAAATTATAAGGCATCTGGCCACACTGTGGTATCAATCTTAATGGCCTTGATTACCAGTCTGGACTTTTTGAAAAATTGATCATCACCAATCTTGAGCACCAGAGGGCTGAACCAGGATTTTTCTCAGCAATTCATTGGGATTGTCAAAGTTGGAATGCAGCAATCTTAGGTTGGATTAGTGACCAGTGTATACCAATTAAAATCAGTAAGAGTCAAGATGTTCCACTGATTTCACTGTGCCAATTTGAAGTATAATTACGTCTAGATTTAACTGATTTGTTTGGTACAAAATGCATGGCTTTCTATGCAGTAATGAGAACTCCCATACACAACTCGGGCACAGACCCAAACTAGAAATCCACAGAGCCAATTATACTTTTATAACATATTTCAAACCACCATCCTATCAATATAATTTGTTTGTGCCACCAGTTTCAAAAGGGGATGTGTTCATATATTTTTATAATGTAATGTATGCTTTTTATGTAAAGGTTATTTGGGATATGCTTTGCAAAAGACTTTTGAATGCTTTTAATATTTAATATATGAATTTTTTTTCTTGCATTCCTCCAGGAGTGCACTTGTATTTTTTATGCATTCATATTAATTTGCTGTGCATATTCTAATTTCTTAGTATAACAGTAGTTACTTGCTACTGTACAAACATTCATAATGAATCAATAATTAAAATTGTATCTTACATAAGATCCATTTTCCACATCAGTTTAAGAGCTAGATCACTGCTTTATTCAATCCCTATTTCTGTTCTTTGAATTTTTGTGTATTTATAATTTTTTACTTGAAATTACTTGAAATTTACTTGAAATTTTGTTGTATTTATATTTTTTTACTGCATCTATGAAAGAGATAAGCACATACCCCTAAGCCCTTACAGTATATTGTTGAATTTATGGAAGTTATATCAATATAGGAAGTCATCCCATGTAACATGCTCTTAAATCAAACTATGACTCAGGTATCAGATTTCTTTGTCTTCCCTTCCCCCAAATTTTATAGCCATTTGTTTCTAATCTTGGCAATGCTGTAAATCCAAAATTAGCTAGTGTTCCGCAAGAGAATCACTAGTCAACTTTTGGCTTCATCAACCATCTTAAAAATGTCACGGATAAATGCACACTTCAGCTGATGATTTAAATAGAAACTGCATCAGCTTCCAAAAGACAGTCTCGTAAGCAGAATCTTTATTACACTGAAGGATACAACACAGGCATTCCCGAGATTACCTTGTTCTGCCACAGAACTTAGTAATGATAGCTAAATATTTTAAGCTGTCAGTAAAAGACTTGGATCCATAATAAACAGCATTCTTTAGAGAAACAATGAAAATGTAACAATTTTAAAAGAGATCTTTCAGATAATCTAATTATCACTGGTACTAGTACAGTGGCCATTGGGAAAATATTTAATGGAAAACCCACAGGTCAATTTATTTATTGAAAAGCATACATTAAAAAAAAAAAAAACCTGTGTACATTTGAAATCACACCCATGAGATGTGTGCCTGTGTGGGGCCCATTAGGAATCTTCTATAATCCCATTCCCCATGTATACCATGTTACTAGGTTCCTGCCACACCCTTTCAATTTGATGGCACAGGGCATCCAAAAGACCAATGAGCTCCCTAGCAGATGAATGGAACGGGCCCAGTGGCTCAACAGTAATGGACAAACCATGAGACCAAGACATTTCAGCAGATGTAGTGGGCAATACAGTGATTTTCAGGCAACAGGCAAGCCAGGCTAAAACCTGGATGTGCAATCTGCCTTGAAGGAATATTTGGAGGAGAAAAAAGCCCTGAGGAGAAGACTGATTCTTGCAAGAGATGTCTGTCATGTGATCAGTCCAAATCATGATTAAGAGGAAGAGTCTGAGAAGAATGTGCATTGAAGCCCAATGCATGTAAGGCCTGTCTCCCTATTTATTGACTCGTTCCAAGGAGTATGGAGATCAGGAATGTCAAAAACTTGATGCCAAGAGGACCAACAACCCACCCTAGAACAGCAAGACAGCATGGAACTTCCTGCAGTCAGAGACTGATGTTCTTTGAAATCAGAGTGGGTATGAGATGGCCAATCTTGGTGATTTTGAGATAGCCTGAAAGGGAAGTTATCAGTTATGAATATTTCAGCTGAAGACGATACTCCAGAAGAATAGATCTCAAATGGGAGCCATCCTGATTCTCCCATTCTAAGAACAACTCCCATGTCTGAAGAGAAGCCAGTGAGGATTGACAATATATATTAGAGAGCCCATCAGTGGCAGGACCAACAGTAGCAGAGATGGAGAAAGACATTATGTAGAGGAACTTGAAGCTGCTGCAGCTGAAATTGTGAAGACAAAAGAGCCTTTATCCTCTTTTTCTTCTTATTTTTGCCTTGGTTAGTTAGAATTTAGTAACCCTCTTAGAAGAACTAATAGGTTTTTTTTCTGTTTCAATAATGGTGCAGCACTGATTTTAGGATCCTCTGCAGGTGACAGAAAATTTGCTTATCAGTCACTCAAAGAGATGAAGGAACGACAAGGCAATTTTGGGGATATGATAGGGGATTTAGAGGAAGAGATGGGTGCTATAATAGTTTCAATCTGTATTCCTTAAAATTTTCTCCCAGAGAGTGATTTGCAAATAAGAATGATTGCAATAACCTGTTTAGTAAATGCCGAACAGTGTTTATAAATGTGCATTGCATGATATTTATCTACACAAAAAATACATAATTTATGGCCATACAAGGTGGAGAAGTGAATTTGCCTCTGAAATGCTCTCATGTATGAAATAAGATCATAAGTCCAAAAGCTGGATGCCTGGGAAAGGAAGACAAGGTCTCCTGAAAAACAACTCTAAGCAATTTTAGAAAAGAGTTGAATGAAAGAGAGTAAGGAAGAAAAACTAAATAATTTCAATATAAGAGAACTACCAGCTCAATTATGAAAATGCTAACTTTAGGAGGTCAACAAAGGTGTTCAGTGGGAGCCATGCCTACTTGTGTGTTATGCAAGAGGGGTGGAATGCTTGCCAATCATTCCACAGGCTCTAAAAGGTTCTGACTGGGGCTCTGTGTAGACACAGAACTCATGTGCGTGAATCATAGAAACCACAATAAAGAAGAAACTGATACATTAAATGTATAAAAATAAACTTTAGAATACAGCATAGACAGTACTTGGATGTTCAAATAATTAAAACAAGACTAGCATCCAAAAGAAAACAGCCCTCCCCACACTATTGGCAACGCATGTATGAAAAGCAAGCTCTTCATACTTTGAGGAAATGCTGTGCCATAAGCCTTGGCAGATTACCAAAGCAAAGCTGTTCCAATAGCAGTTATGGCCTAACTAGAAAACATCTCTATATATCCCTTTCATATTGTTTGTTCTATATATTTTTAACACTCTCCTGTTGAATGGGTGCAATATTTATTAAGGTATTCTCTATGAGAAGAAGGTAGATCTGGAAACCTGCACTTTGCTTGCTTCTCAAAGAATCAGTTCAATACTGGGCTAACAGTCAGCTTTGCAGACTCCAGGGTGGCATAAAGAATATAGAACTGCATATAACATTTTGAAATCAAAATCTTACCAGAAGTATTCCATTATTGCTCTCATCTTATCAACATATTTCTTCTTGAAACAGACCATTCTCACAGTGGTAGAAGTCAGAATGTCAGTTCAAGGTTGGAACACTTCTGGTAAGGTTGGGATGATGTTGGAACACTTTCCGTAAGATCAGACCTAGCACACATGGAAAAGAGTAACTAAAGCAATTAGGAGGGGATATAATATTTGCTTCTTGTTGGTCTTAAGGAAAGACGTGACTAAGAAGAAATGTGATCAAAGTTGATAAAATTAGGGGTCTTATAAAATTAATGGTGGAGAAAATGGAAAGATTTTTTTTTTCTAATAATACTAGAATGCAGAGTCATCAAACAAAACTGACTGGTAATGAAACCAGAGCTGGCCAAAGAAAGCACTATTTTAGACAACGTGCATTAAATTTATGACATCCATAACCAAGCCTGGATAGCTTTCAAGAATATTCACACAGGATATTCTTTCAATGATTACTTGTTTAAGGTTTTACTGAATCTCAGCTCAGAGACAGTTTATCTTTAAGAAAAAAATTACTGGTGGACAGTGAGAATAGGCTGATGCCACTATGATCTGTTTCTCAGCTTTCCAGAGACAAATGGGCAATCACTTTGGGATGCTGGACTCATGGACCTTCTTAAGCTTTTGTCGTGCATCAGAAAAATCTGCCCTATTTTTCTAGTCTGAGGAACTTGTCTCAGGATTGAGTTATTATATGATTAGTAATCTCTTTTATCTGCTTGAACAGCTACCCTTTCTGTACATGTTTCACATTGTCCTAACACGTGGACCAGGCATAGGACCAAAATGACAGGCACAATTGTGGATCAAAGCCCCACCCCTTTGGGCATATAGCACCATCACTTCAATCTGCAGTTGTGCCCATGACTTTCAACCTTTCAACCCTGCCCCCCCCCCATTGTGGATGCCTCCAATGTAGATTCACACCTACCATATCTTGCCAG